AGATGCTTCTTTGGGTAAAATCATTTATTATTTTTTTTTTTCCCCCATTTCAGCTTGCTCTGAGATGCCTGAAAAAGCTGCTATGCCTTGGGAACAACAGAGATTTCCTTGATGACCTCGCAAAATGTTTAAGAAACCTGTGCAGGAAAAAAACTGGCAACGTTTTGCTCCAAGTGGTGGATTGCGTTGAAGTCTGGAATTTACAGATTAACGATTTAAGCAAGTGCGAAAGGGCTAAACTAGTGTTTATTGTCCTTTTGTGCTCGAATGCAAATATATCACCCTCCTTAAACGAGCGATGTTACACTGCGCTGAAAAGGATAGCCTCTTCGTTAAAGGGATTAGCGAGTGGGCTAAGTGAGAAGCATGTAGGCAAAGAGGAACTTCTCAAAAATGGCACACATTCTGAAACGGCAAAAGCGAATTTGCATCGAAATGAGGAAAATGTTGATGAGGGAAGAACCATTTTGCAGAAGGAACACTGCTGTGTACATTCGGGGGAAGCATCACATGCAGATTTTTTCTCCAGAATGAACAACCTTTTTTACACACCCTCCCCCTTTAACATTGTGTGCAGCGATATTCCTGCCCTCTTTGGGGAAATAAAAAAGGCACTATTCTACGAGATTATGAATAATGAACGAAATTCGTGGAGCGAAGGAAAGGACGATTTCGCCAGCATTTTAACCACGTTTCTATTCTGCACCTACTACGACACGGTTCATTTTGTTACGCCCATCCTCTCCTTTGTGTACAGATCACTGGTCCTGTTTAAGTACATCAACTGTCCGACAACGCCCTTGTTGGTGAGTGCTATATCTGAGGAGGAAGTCTCACCGAAGGACGCTCCGCCGAAAGACGCCTCGATGAAGAACGCCGCTTCCCAGTACGGCTACGAATACGACTCCTTTTTGTACCTCACAAAATTTGTCTTCCTAATTATCACGTGTGGGTATTTAATGCCCCTCAATGTGACGCTCCCCGAGGTGGCCCAACTCCTACTAGGCGACTGCAACTTTCGCAAGGTTGCGGAGAGTTTTTACAAACTTAGCCACGTATCGCCGAGCGGTGTCCATGATGGAGATGGAAGTGGGAGAAACAACTTCATCGTTCGTTTAACCAACACAGATGGTGGAGCTTGCACAAAATATATTTTTTCGGACACGAATTATCATATGTACCAACGAAAGGCGTACGAAAGGTGGGATGCGCACAGGAAGAGCGACATTCTTTTGGAAGAGAACACTGGCGGGGGTCGTCAGCTGGTCGGGCATTTGGAAAAGGGAGCAACGGACTATGACAGTGGGGAAGAACCCACGGGAGGGGAACCCCTAGATGTGGTGAAGAGAGACGCGGTGAACAACGCGGTGAACAACGCGGTGCACGACTCGGGGAACGACTCGGCGAACGGCTCGATGGACGAATCGGTGCACTACTCCGCGGACAGCGCCCCCATAATCTGCGACAACAAAAAAATCGTGCTCATGATGCTGTCCCAGTTGCTGGCCGGCCATTACCTGAAGAACGGATTAACAGAAAGCAAACTAGACGAAGAACACCTAAATTTCATTTTATTTCTAATAAGCGAAAATGCAAAATACGAGCATGTAGATGCCTTTCCCTACATATTAATAACCCTGAAGCATTTGCTAAACATTATCGGGGAGGATTGCAAGAAGTACAGCAAAATTTTTTTCCACTTTTTGGTGGTTTTACAATCAGATACTCAGTTTTGCCCGCAATCAGAAGTGCAAAAATTAATTGAAAAAATTGAGCATTATCACCATGGGGATAAAACGAAAAGTGATTTTTACAACGATGAGTATGTCTACTTTGTGCAGAACGTTCCCATAATTATAAATATAAACGATTTTAACAATTTCAAATGTAACATTGAATTTTTAAATGTACTTTTGTGTAACATAAGCGAAGAAGTGATGATGGAACAGTCGAACCATTTGATGGATTTATTACTCATCATTATGAATCAAGAATTAAGGCCATTCATGAAATCCGAGTTTTTATTATTCTTAAATTTGTTTTGTTCCAGAAATATTTTCCCCAATTTTTTACAAAAAAATTCGCAACAAATTTTAAAAAATATATTGTTACCTTTGTGCACATGGAAGAGTGGCCTAAACGAGGCGCAGACACGAAAAGGAGCTCTACATTGTATAAGAACATTATTCGTAAAAAATGCCCTCCAGAAATATGTACTTGAAAATAATGTCCTGATTGAAAATTTGGTGTGTGTTCTCAAATCTTCCACTGATGATACATGGAATGGTGAAAACAGAGAAATAGCCATCGCCATATATGCACAAATTGCAAGGCACTTAAGCAATAATAATATTTTACTGGACTTGTTAAACATTTTGCTGGGGCTAATGGAGGACTCGAGTAACACAATTCGTAAGCTGTCCGCAAATGGATTGTATTCACTTTTTCTGAATGAGTCTTTAATTCTAGCTGATGAACTCTGTGAGGAGGTTTTCCCCACCCTTCTGCTCCACATGGATGACGACTCTCCGGACGTCAGTGAAATGGTTTACCGTACCTTATTACTTGCCAAAAAGTTTAACCAGACGATTTTAGTGAAGGTACTTTTGGCATGTCTTCATAGGGGGTTCGCACCTACTGACGCGCGTCCCCATTTTTGCATCATAAATAATATTTTTTTGCGCCCTGAAATGAAGGGGTTTCTACACAGAGGGGGGACGAATAAAATGACAACACTTTGACGAGACTATCTGGTCTAAGCAGTCCCGCTGTGT